GGCTGCAGGGGGTCCGGTGGGGCAAGGGAGGAACATGGGGGGCTAGGGGGCCAGAGGGGTGGCACAGAGGCTGAGGAGGTGCCCCCGTGTCCCCAGGTGCGCTCCCCCCTCTCCGCCTCCCTGCTGGGGGAGCAGACGCTGGTGGTGTCGGAGGAGAAGGTGACGGTGACAGAGCTGCGGGGACAGGTGGTGTCGGGGCTGTCCCTGTCCCTGCGGGCACAGCCGGCTCACCCGGGCCTGGTCACTGTCACCGCCCAGGGGACAGCCACCCTGCGGGCCCCCAAGCAGGTGAGAGGGGTGGGGTGCTGGGGGGGGAGCCCTGTGTCACACCCCTCCCTGTTGTCAACCCCTCCCTGTTGTCACACCTCCTCCTCATGTCCCCTTCTCTTGGTGACATCCCGGTGTCACCCCCTTTCCTGGTCTCACCCCAGTGTCACCCGCTCCCCTGCCTTGGTGACATCCTGGTGTCACCTCCACCCTAATGTCATCCCTACCTTAGTAGGGTCACCCTGTGGGCAACACCTGCTCCTTGGTGTCACCCCGCTCTCCAGTGTTACCCCTACTCTTATGTCACCTCTACCCCCATGTCACACCCCTTGGTGACATCCCAATGTTACAGTCACTCTGGTGTCACCCCTCTCGCTGGTGTCACGCCCACTCTTGTTTAACCCTCCCACCCCTGTTTCACTCCTTCCTCTGTGTCTCCCCCCGACCCTGCTGTCACCCCTGTCCCCACTGTCACCCCACCCTCATTTAACCTCCCCGGTGTCACCCCCCTTGGTGACACCCCTCCCTTGCTGACATCCTGGTGTCACCCCTACCTTGGTGTCACCCCTACCTTGGTGACACACCTCCCTCCCTGGCATCCTGGTATCACCCCTTCCTTGGTGTCTCCCCGCCCTCCCTGACATCCCAGTGTCACCCCTCCCTTGGTGTCACCCCTACCTTGGTGACACCCCTCCCTTGCTGACATCCCAGTGTCACCCCTACCTTGGTGTCACCCCTACCTTGGTGACACCCCTCCCTTGCTGACATCCCAGTGTCACCCCTACCTTGGTGTCACCTCTACCTTGGTGACACCCTTCCCTCCCTGACATCCCAGTGTCACCCCTCCCTTGGTGACACCCCTCCCTCGCTGACATCCCGGTGTCCCCCCTCCCTTGGTGACACCCCCTCCTGGCAGGAGGCCACGCTGTCTGTCTGGCTGTCCTTCTCCGACCGCACGCTGGCCCCGCTGGAGCTGTACGGCTGGCAGGACACCACCTTGACCGTCACCTCCCTGGACCCCGCCGTGGTCACCGTCGGGGGCTCTCCCGGTGTCCCCCCCGCCCGCCCCCGGCTGGGGGCCCCGGGCCCGGGG